TGACTTGTATAACATTTTTATAATGAGCTTAGGCATATAATGCCTTCGTCAGCTCTTAAATTACAATTCTTAAGCATATAACAGCTACAACAAAGACTGTGATACATTAAGAACTTTACGTACCAGCGGTGAAAGGGGACAGACTATCGGCGGGGCTACTGGGACACAAAATGACCCGCGCTGATATTTGAGGATATTGGAGTGCAATGATTAGGGCGATGAGCCCTAGTAGGTCACGTAGTTTCTCTTTTGCGTTAATTTCTTGTCTCAAGCAGTGTATCTCCCGCGCCTCCATTATATCCGCAGCGGTCATACCAAATGTCTATGTAGTACACTCACATCGAACGATCATTGTTATTCGTGTACTTAAGCCTACGGTTCCGGGTGAAAGCGCTCCGTGAATAAGCAGCGAGGTTTGTCAAAGCTCTTCCACAGGGGGAGGGGGCTAAAAAGGGACACTTTCCTCCTTCGATAAGGCCATGTAAGTTACACTTAATCATGTAAGTTACACTTAATTAAATTCTATTGGACCATTATATTCAACAGCACATTGTACACTATCATGATACTCCGCCACAGCCTTCTGGACGAGCGCCATCGAGAGATTCTGCCACGCGACCGTGATTGGGTGCCTGAGTTCAGCGAGGTCGTTGATTTCTCCGCCACTGTAGACCACCCTGTTGAGCTCCTCTCGGACCCGGTAATCGAGAGGGTTTATGGAGGTGGCACACTTGGATATTCCTTTTCTTCAGGTTCTCAACGGCCTTTGATTCCAACTGGGCTAGAGTTTCTCCAACTCCCTTCGATTCCATGTGGTGGCACCCAACCCTGTAGCAGTACGAAGTTTCCAAGATTTTCGGGCTGGGACATGAAGGCAGGACTCATCAAGCTCAGTCTCATCGAGCTGTCCGATGTAACAGTTTTTCCTTTAATTCCGAGGTTCACGAAGAAAATACCGGTCTTCCCAACTTAAGGTCCATTCCATAAACCCGTGCCTTGATGACTGATGTGAAGGTGATATCCTGGACCGTAGCTGTCCCCTGTCGGAGCTGCTCGTGTTGGAGGTCTTCCAGAACAAGAGTGCCGGTCTCCGGGTAGCTGTCCATGGGTGGGCTCCATACAAGAAGTTTCGCAGCTTTCATTGGCCTTCTCCAGTCCGGTTGTTATTGGAGATGAGTTCATATTTTGGTGTACATGAAAGGTGGTAGGCGAGAGCCTCCTCATACTTATTGAGGAACGCTTGGGTATCTTCCGCCCTGGTACTCGTATCCACGTCTTCTGTCTGCGCTGCGAAAACTTTACTGATATGTGACTCGGCCGGAGTGCCTTTCTTTGGCCCCCTGTATGCTCGTCCAGTCGATTCTCTGAGGAGGCTACAGCTACCTCCTGAAGCCTATAGCCTAGTCACCGTACTCATGCCATCATGGATCATGCCTCAAGTATCAGCGCAGGTAATTTTTTGCCCCAGTAGCCCCTCCTATAGGTCGTCCCCCCTTTTATCTGAAGTTCCTAATAAATCAATGTTTGTTGTGCTGTTATATGCTCAAGAATTATAATTCAAGACCTGAAGAAGGCATTATGTGCCGAAAGCTCGTTAACGAAAGTGTGATACAAGTGAGAAGCTTTGAACACACTACTCAGAAATTTCATCACTGATGATGCTCGTATCTGAGGCTCACATCAAGTCAGTCCTAATGTGTAACCCAGGTACACAAATTGGGGACGGCATCTTTTTGTAGGGTACAATAATGCTTGTGTCATAGTGCGATAGGGATCTGCCAGCACTAAAAGTCAGAACTTAGAAACTTTCTTTTTGTACCAGCCAGTTTAGGAAAGACAACACTCCTTATGGAACCCGCTAGAGAGGGCTCGACTCCTACGTTGCGAGCAACAAGCCTCTAGCAGTATGATGAAAACACTGCAGCTGAGCTTCTACTTCAGCTGAAAAAGGATGAATCCATCTCATGCTGCCTCAGTTGTGAAAACCTGAGGATAGAAAGCTTGACGATGGGTTTATCACCAGTATAGACTCCTGTCATCCTTCCGACCTGTCCTACTTTCATCCTCTATCAACCCCGCCCCTTCCGTGTTCTATAATTACCGAATGTCATTGCTTTTTGCTCATGCAAAAGAAACTGGTTCGCAAATGCCGATTCATGATTGATGGGCATCACTGCAGTCGTGAATGTCATCTTGTCGTTGTAAATGAAAAACTATCGCAGTAAACCTTCATTTGTGTACTGCATTAAAAAGCAAAATAGTTCAACAATAAGAACCAACATGTCGAAAAATGACAGATTTGTTGTTTTATCGGGAGACGGGAAGTGGAGGAAGGGATCACGACTACACATAAAACCGCGCGACATCGCGATCGCAGCCCGCGCGATTTCTGAATAGGGCATTAATACAAGCACAACCAGACTTCAGAGTAAGGAGAGCCGCACCTTCATTCAGCCCTCGAAAAAGCATGTTGAGGTATTCCCTCCCCCCCCCTCCTCCCGTCTAGCCTTACATTCCATTACGCCAGTACTAGTGACGGCAGTAAAGACACCTGATCTTGTTTCCTTTCCTAAAAATTGAGGCACATTTTGCACCGATCGCACTATCCCTACGTCTATTGTTAAGCTTCGTCAGAAGGGAGAACAGCGCCAATGAGGAAAGTTTAATGGCAGGTCTGAATGAACAGAGGCAGCGAGGGTTCGAAGTGTTGGCAGACCCATGACCTTGGCCCCCTCATGCGGGCATGGCCAGCTGGTGCGATAAACTTCAATCAGTTGCTAGTTTCATGTGAGCAGAGCCTTCGCCAGCACTAGGATGCCATACTTTCTATCTTACTTGATGGTCTATGGGCACTCGGTCGGGATAGCCTGATTCTCCCCTTTCCTCTGCTTCCTGGAATGTAACTCAACCCTCTGATTGGTTCTATCTAACTTCAAAATGTGTAAGTGTGTAAAATGAAATATGACCGGATTTTCTCACTTTTGGTTGGTTGTTTGCTTCAAGATTGCTACTTGTTGTATTGTATTGCTTGTATTTACGCATGAATTAATAAATAAATAGATCTTGGAAAGGCAGCATGAGTTTCCTCTTCATATTGAACTTGTCAATTCACTTAAATGGCCATCGCGCGCTGCTAGAAGAATGTCGGGTGCACATCGGTTTAGGAGGACGGCATTAGCGTTATTGCTAGCTACTGTGACTAGTTATTCTGACCATGAAATTCGGTGTATGGACTGAGTAGAGTTCCACTATGGCTCCGAATGGAAACGTAGTTTGCGGTTCTTTCCAAAAAGGAATTGATCAGGGTCGGTTACCTTTTCATTTTTGTTATGTTTCTAAGATACATTATCAAAAAATAGATGGCGGTTTTCCAGTCACCTGCCAATTCGTTCCACCTGTGTTTGTTTTTGGATTAAGTGTGCTTCACCTAAAGTAATGAGCAAAAATTTATCAAAAGAAATTTTGCTACGCAGAAGACGTTTTTGCGATAAGCGCTTTAAAACAGCAAAGTACACGTAACTGGAAATGGGTCTGCAAAAAACTATTGACCTATTTCATGTTATCCTTTTCTTTAGTAACACTTGTAATGGAGCTTTCGCAGCTCCTTCCTTTTCCCGGTGCGAGTACAGCCGATACTCACCCGTTTATTCGGCTCGTTAGCAGTAAGTGGGGCAGTGCCCAGTCGAAATCCACAAGAATACTATTTCAACATAAGAACCGGCCTTATATAGGGTGAGTCTAGACAACTAGAGTATGACGAAATAGTACATAGTAGACGAAGTGACGGAATCAAATCGCGCGGGATTCACATCCCTGGCTTGCAATCAATAAGGCCCGATAACAACTGCCTTCATGATAAACAACGGCGAAAAGAGCGTACAAAGTTACAAGGTAAGTTTGGTTACAATATTTTAAAGGATCTAATTACAAAACTTCATAGGCTAGGATAGAGGTAGCATAGAATATAGGGAATACATAGTAGCAATGTTCAAGGGGATTTCCCTTACACGCGCCCCCTTTGGGGAAGCCGACCGTGACGGCTTCTTGGTCGATGTTAGCTGCTTCCATAAGAGGTGCCATACTGGTCGCGTAGAAGTTTTAGCGTTTCCGATTGGGACATCCTTGATGTCGTAGGGCTTCGAATCAAGCGCGTTTCTTTTACCTTCTGACTTTCGACACAGGTGAAAAGAAAGTGCACTGCGCTGGAAGCTGGTGGTGACGGTGGCGGTCTACTCGATCTCTGCCTTTGCTTGTACTTCGAACGTCGGAAGTACGCAGTACCCAGTTGAGGGCTTGATGTGTTGCGACCTGATTAAGAAAAATTTTACACTGCCAAGCCATAAGTCGGTCTTCTCCTTTCCTTGGGCATACGCCGAGGCTTATCGCTGGGTGCTTCATGGAGGACTTCGTCCCTGATGCCGCTGTAGTAGTCCACGATGCGCGCATCGAACCCCCTCGCGGGCCCAGAAAGGAATTCTGCCATCATGCGACAGACGGTGCCGATGTGCCTCCAGTCATCTTCGCGGCTGAGTTCAAAGGGTGGAGGGAACAATTCCATAGTACCTCCACATTGAAGATGTCTTTCCACTGCATGCTGTACGAGGAGCATGTGCTGGGTGTTGGGCACTTCGTTTGGCCAGATCCATATGAATGCTGAAGATATGCTTTGCTTCTGCAACTGCTCCGCGAGATCACCGAAATGTGAGTAGACAATGAACTTCACTGTCGGCGGCTCTACGATCTCAGTAAGAACCCTGCCGAAGTGACGCGGAAGAGCCATCAAGATGGGGTTTCCTGGCATATCATCCGGCGACTGAGAAGTGATTTGCGCTCTTCGAGCCATGGCCATTCGATAGTACATCTCGATGTCATATCCTGGATTGGTCGTGAACAGTGGTGGATGCGACAGCTCGACGCCTTCCTTTTCTTTCACCGCAGAAGCAAATTTGTAGCAGAATTTGGCGTGAGCTTGAATCGCTGTAGCAAGCCCATGTATCGTGAGATAACGCGAATCCTTATTGAGGAGTTCGGTTTCCTTGCGGTCATCTCCCCAGTGAGGGTGCAATGCAATGGAGGCTACATTTGCTAATTCATACAAATTTTTCACAGGTTTAGAACGAGCTAGATCACAACGTAATCCAGGCAAGCCCACTTGAGCCCGTGTGTTGAACATTCCACATTGACATGGATGAAGCAGATGCAACGGATCGAAACGTGGATCTCCAACATCGACCCTGAAAGAGACATTATTAATTTACAACTGCGAACTCGCCGTTTTTGGTCTACCCTTCCTAGCTCTACGCCTACTTGTAACTACCGGCTCATTATCTATGCCTACTGGCAACTTCCGGAGTTGATCAAAGGGTAAACAAAGCGGGTCCTTGTCTCCCGACAAGGCTGTAATTGTCGCACTATTATCACTGACTCCTACAACCCTGAACGGCCCAGTCCATTCATTGACCAGCTTGGGATGGCACTTGTTACCTTTCTCTGTTGGCACACGCATGTAAACTCTGTCGCCAACCTTTAGCGGTTTAACCATCACCTTATGTCTGCTGTCGTAACTGCGTTTCATTGCCCCACGCGCTTTCTCATTCTGCTCTCGAGCGTTTTGGCGAGCCAAGTTTAGTCCACTGACTAGCTCATGGATATAATCGTCCATGTCTACCATGTACGGGGTGTTTGCTCGTTCTGGCATGGAATCCCATGGCATATTTGCATCAAAACCATGCATAAGAAAGAACGGAGAATCCCCAGTGGCCTCATGCGCCGTTGTATTATAGGCAATGGTGCAGTAAGGGAGCATTCTGTC